AAAATAAGTTACATTAAAATACTAAGTATCTATGGTACTTTAAAAACAATTAAACTGAAACTGTGAACCTAAGTTATCAAAAAATTTATTTGATGATACAGTTGTATTCAACTCTACAATCTTTCAAAAGTGTGAGATGCATGATTTTAGGATACTTCTCACCTATAAGCAAGGAACTGCTGCTTTGCTTCTTCCAAGGGGAAGAACAGTCTGGCTTTTTTTATTGATTTAGTAAGCATATATGGAGACTCTAAAACTTAAGACTTAATTTCATATTACACTCTGGGTTGAAGCAAGAGAAAGAGATTTAAACAGGACAAAAGGTATAAAATTGGAACCATTTTTAGCTGATACTTCTTTTTTTTTCCCAAAAGGAAAAAAACCTCAGCCCTCATTTATACACTCACACACATAGCAAATGGGCAACTGAATTGACCGAGAGATTTCCAAACCAACAATTAAGGTCTGAGGCTTGTTTAATATGTTTTTGCATTCCACTAGCACTATGAATAGGCAGATAATAGTATGCGGTTCTAAAAATACCTTTATTTGAGGTGGGTGTTTTTCCCCATAAATATAGCTTTGTACAACAATGTGCAAGGTAAGTTCTGAGTAGTAAACTGGGTACTCTTGGAAAGAAGAAGTATTCCTGTTTCTGGTTTGTTCAACATGCACTCACAGTCATCGCTCCATGTTGCATGTTGTTTATAAATCTTTATTGAGTAGTTGGCTCCAGTTTCTCTGCAAATCCACTACCCTCAGTTTCTAGGATTAAAATGGGTTCCACCAACTCGATTACCCCTACTATTACAAAAAAACACTTCTTATTTTAAATTATTGCTCAAACCACCCTGCTTATGGAAAAATCAAGGGTACCAAAGAGTCATGGAGGAAGGAGTTAAGGATGCTCCACTGAGGTGTTAAAAACTGAACAAACAAAAAAACCACCCAGAACTCAAATCTTCCACCTTCATACCTGGTGCCACAAATGCTTAAGCAAGTGAGAACCTTCATGGGCTTTATTAACCTAATTGAAGACCCAAGTAATCCAGGGAAGCCTGCAGATACTCATATGGGTAAAAATATTTTTCATTTGATTGACCTCCAATGAAGTGTTGACTGTACGTGTATTGGGATTCACAACCACACCACTCCCTCATGATATGACCTCTATGCAGTACAAAGATGTTTAATCATGTCACTTTACTCCTTGTCATGTCTGAAATCCTCTCTGTCCCAAACCAGTATTTTTTGTAGTTGTCTGTTTCCATTTTACAGTTTCCATGAAAAAAATTGCCAAGAATGTACCCAAAATAAGAACTTGTGCATTGTAATCAGATGCAAAATTTTTTGCAGAGTGTTAAGAGACTTTGTGTTGACCATAAAGAGACCAGAAAGCAGTCTTTGGCACAACCTAGGCAGCACTGGGAGGCATAGAGGTCTGTGAGGCTGTCATTTGATCCTTAGTGGCTTGTAGGTGACCACTGCTATGGAAGAAGCCGTACAGCATCTAAATAATATTGTTTAAAGATACTTGTCACCTAGAAGGACCTTTTTTGTTTGTTTTTTTTTTTTTCTGATTGAAAATTCTTCCATAACTGGATATTAAGTGAAACAAAAGAGTAAATTTGATTGCTATCTGTCACACTCAAGAAAAGCTTCCAAATGCACAATTGTCCTCCTAAGCATGAGGTAGCTTTTGGTTTAGGATCCTAAATATAACAATTGCTTCTATTAAAGCAAAATGTCTGAGCGTTCTTAGTTTTCAAATACCCTTTCATCTGTCATGGCCCATAATTTATGCTAGTAGAAGTTGAATTCTTGTAAAGAATGCAGATTGGACTAAGCAGTTAGTCTGGGTTGACAGCTGATGCTTTTATTTTCATATATTATATGAGAACTGAAAAGGTGTAGCTGCTTTTGTTTCTCTCTTACGAGCATGCATGCTGTCATTTCCATAAATCTGAAAGCTTCCAGTACATTGAAAAGACCTGAGGAAATGCAGCTGGATAACTTATCTTGAAATTGTGGCTTTAATTGCTTCAGTAGGTTTACCTCTTAAAACCACTTTACTGTTAGAGGCAAATTTTTTTTTTTTTTTGAAAGTAATGTTGAAGCACATTGAATGATAGTTTTGAATATTGATGACTCAACCCACTTCTGGATTAGCAGTGCTAACCAAGTTTGTGTATTATTTTTCTAGACTTCAGTTTATCGTTTGCATTTCATATTCTCTTGTTGGTATTAATGTGCCGATATTGGATGTGGGCACATGTCTGGTTTTTCCTGCTGATACTGCCAAAATACTTTTCTGCAAAATCACTTGTTTGAACTCCCCGTGGTGTAACAAACAATCCAGAGAAGTAGTCAGTTTTCATGGTTGGACCATCCTGCATCGCCTGTAAACAGTCCTGATGAGGAGTGAAAGGAAGGCAGGCGTCCTGAAGCTGCTGTGATGCAGATGTCGATGACCCTCTGTGGAAACCCTTCAACGTTCTCTACATCTCTTCTGGACAAAAGGGCTGGTTTGGTTGTTCCAAATGATCTCCCTCCCTTGGAAGGCCCATTTACTTTGTGGTGGGCATCACAACATTGGTTTCAAAAAGGCATTTTGTTATTATACATAAAGACATTTGCTGTTGGATAGGCAGTTAATTTCTGGCACTTTCATGGAAGAGGTGTGATCGATGTTATGAGAAGCACTGCTAAGCTTCTGCAAGGAAACAGAGATGTGAGCCCAATCCCAGCAACGGGCTGTGTGGGTGTGTGGTGGCAGAGCCCCAGCGCGGGCTGCCCAGCCTCAGGGTACATGACCACGGTAGAGGCATTCTCAGCACCAGCTGTACCAGGTGAGTCATCTGCAGTTGGCCACAGGTAAGACTGTTCCTTTGTTGTGGGGCAAGGAAGGGCCAAAAAAGCAGATAGCAACCTATTTTCCTGCTGTTGAGAATTTCATGCAGACATTTAACTTCGTATAGCAGCTTTTTCAGCCCTGGCAGCTCTTTATGCCCATGGTCCTAGAGCCAGCATCCTGACTCTTGTCCTCAGCAGGTGACAGTAGAGCTAAAATCTTTACAACAGGCCCCTACTACCCAGCTTTACTCTCTTACAAATCAGGCATTGGTGATCATTTTTCACTTCCAGTGGATCCAAATAGACTTTGAGACCTGACTGAGTCATTTATGCAGAACTTCAAAATCTATGAGATCACCTGGTGAATATTCAGCACCATTCCCAGTTAAAATATAGACTCAGCATCTCCTCCAGCTGTAGATGATGTAGGGGTTGGATGCACACAGGAGGACTAACTCAAGATTGCTGTGTCACCCAGTGATCTGTTGCCTTCATTTTCATCTGACAGTGCTTTATGTACATCAGATTACAGGGAGCTGAATGGAGTACTGAAGGCCAGCTGCTCAGAAGGTAAGACAGACAAGAAGCCACAGTCCATCTACGCTGGGAAAGCAGGGCTGGAGCTTCCTTTTTCAGGTGGTGACAAATTGACCTCATTAAAATTTTATTTTTTATACTATGAAAGCTATATGCAACAGGCCTCATCATTAGAGACTGCTGTCACCACAAGTGCTGGCAGCAAAGCCTGACTTATGGGAATGGATGAACAGGGCCAAAAACTAATCAAGATGAGTTCAGTTTCTAGTATAAACGCCTCCTGCAGGTTTAAGTGAAAAAAAAAAATCCCAGGCTGAGAGCTGGCATAGTATTTCAGAAACCCATTGGTGTCAGGGCAAGCTGCTTACAAAGCAGCTGGCCTGAGAGCAATGTGGTAGTGCACTGGTGCAAGCAAGGACAATATTTACATCCATTTATATTCATGTCACAGCATGGATTCTTAATAGCCTTCCTGCCAAACCTTTTTCAATAGTCCATTTGGAGAACCTATGGATCAACTTTATTTATAAAAATTTGACATTGCACTCTGCAGTGGGAAAGTGATTGAAAAAGGTGGCCAACAAAAAGTGCTATTTCCCGTATTTTTGTACCTCATTGTCTGCTGTGTCATCGAGTTCAGCTGTCACCTCTGAAACTGTCACATTTTGTTCTAGCTAATTGCCTGTGATAAAGGCTACAGAATACAAATATAACTATTTCTTATGGTCCTTTGGCACCAAAGAGCTTGTTGTATTGCCACAGTGGGAAATGCTGGGTTATAACCAAACTTCATTTGCAAAATAAATGTTTTCTTGGATTGACTACTTTTCTTGCAGACAGCTTGGAAGGAAGCATTTCCTGGGGTGAACCTTCAAAGGTCAATACCTTCCTGTTGAAAGCAATTCCTGTGTGTGACAGCTGTCATCTTGCTTCCCTATTAACTTCAAATAATGGTGGAAGAGACTGGGTCTGTCTCTGCTTGCAAATGCTGGGTTTGGGGCTGGCTGGAGTAGAGCACTTCACCCTGCAGCCCCAAAAAGTCCTGTTGAGACAGGATGACATTTGGCCAACTCCCATTATGTCCCTTCTCAGTCAATAAGGTGAAACTAGCAGCTGCTTCCTCATTTGCACATATTTAATTTCTTTAGTTTCAAATGAGATTCCTCATGTAGATGAAGACCTTGCAAACTTTTATGCAGGGGGCTACTAAGCAGGATTTCACACAGGGTCTTCAGGACTTAAGCAAGCCACTGGCAAGATGTTGGCTTAGAGAGAGTGGGTGGGTGGGGGACTGCAACGCACCCAAAGGGCCCTGCCCCCCACCCCCTTCTAGATATTGTACCTTGCATGATGGTACCCAATATTAATCCGGACTAGCCCTCCCCACAGCAAATCTCCAGGGGTAGATAATCCCGTTGCAAGCTGTCCCTTTCCACCCCTGGAGGGCCCTGAATTAGGTCAGACTGGATTAAGTTTGCATTTTATTTATCTAATTTTTTTTTCGTGCTGGTTACACGCACACTCAGGCTCGGAGGAGGCGGGGAGGGAGGCGGGGAGCGGCGGGAGCTTTAGCCGATGGCAGTGTCTGATGCCCGGCGGCGGATGCCAGCGGCAGCCGGGCGATGGCGAGGAGCCGGGCGGCTTACGAGTACACGGAGGCGGAGGACAAGAGCATGCGGCTGGGTTTCCTCCTCATCGCCGCCGGCTTGCTTTCCCTCTTGGGTTTGGGTTGTTGCTGGCTTCGACCGGCGCTGCAGGAGCGGGGCGGCGGCGGCTCCGCCAACTGCACGGTGCTGGCGGTGCGGCAGCTGGGGGAGCGCTTCGCCTGCACCTTCTCCTGCGGGGCCGCCTGCCGCGGCACCGCCCGCTACCCCTGCCTCCAGGTCCTGGTCCGCACCTCCCGCTCCTCCGCACCCGCCCTGCTCCACGAGGACGAGCGGCAGCTCCGCACCAACCCCAAGGTGAGACCTGCGAACGCCCTCCTCTCCCGAAACGCGGGGTGGTGGGTCCCGCCGCGGCGATGGTGCCCTTTCCCTGGCCCCGGTGCCCGCCTTGGGCGTCCCGGTCCGCGGCAATCGCCCTCTGTTCGGTGCGGGTTTTAATCTGAGGGGGGGAGAGTGGATGAAGTCCCGGAGCATCCCTCCAAAATACCACTCTGCTGTTGCTCAGCAAAACGTAGTATATCTTTATAGTGTGTGTATATAAATATATATATGTGTATATACATATATATATATATACGTACTCTACAGGGTGCATCTATATTTATGTGTTGTGTGCATACACATATCTAGCATGTCGGGGGTGGTTTAGGCTCGATATTAGGGAAAGATTCTTCACCCGGAGGATGGCACTTAACAGGCTCCCCGGGAATGTGGTCACAGAAACAAGCCTGCCAGAGTTCAAAAAGTGTTTGGACAATACTTGGCACATGGTGTGATTCTCGGGGATGGTCTTGGACGGGGCCAGGAGTTGGACCCGATGATCCCTGTGGGTCCCTTCCAGCTCAGGATATTCTGTGATTCTATATGGCATAGTATAACATACTATCAATGTATAATGTATAGTATACTACATACTATACTACACTATACTATACACTATCCTAAGTACAGTATAATGCTATATACACACACATACACTATATAAATACACACACACACTGTATAAATACACACACACACATGCACTTCGCGATCAGCCCCATTCATTTCCAGCCCAACCCTCCCGCGTCCGGAGCGCAGCCCTGGGGCGGAGAGCAGCGGAGGCTCAGCTGCCGTTCCCTGTCCCGCTGAAGCCCCGGGACGCCGGCGGGGAGCCGGGGAGAAATTCCTGCTGCCGGTGGGGAGATCTGTCTGCTCGGGCAGTGCCCGATGCCGCTGCGTGATCCAGAGGGTGGGGGGCTTCCTATAGAAACGCCCCGAAGCGCAAGGGGAAATGTTAACGGAGCCACTGGTGGGGCGTCGGGGAGAGGGCTGCGCCGAAACAGAAGTTTCCTCCATGCTGTTTTGATTCTTAGACTTCTCCATCACCCACATGAAAAAGGACCGAATGGAGGAGTCCTAAAAATTGCATCTTGCAGCAAACTGGGGTAGTCTGAAGGCAACGTGTGACTTGTGCTTTCTCTTTCTTTAAAGGCAGTTATTCTGCCTTCTCCTTTTTCTTTTCATGTTGGGTAAAGATGGCCTTGACAGAATGCTGCCTGAATGAAGGAGATTTTATTTGAAGGAGATTTTATTAAGTAGTTTCCAGAAGAAAAAAAAAATGTGATGGAATCCCCCTACCCGTGAAAGGACTTCAAGTCTTGAGAGTATTGGAGAAGGAAATGTCAGCTTTTTGACTGAGATGTGGATGCAGCACAATGTCAAGGGGCATGTTAAGCATGGTGCAGGAGTCTGCTTGCAGGGACCAGATAGCAGGCTTGAGTGTCCAGTTGGTATGTGCAGCCTCGCATCTCCTCAGTCATACTTGCACTGATCTGGCTCTGTCCCTTGGAAGGTGGATTAAATTGCAAGCTTAGGGTTTGAGGGTTGCTTTTTTCCCCTTGACAGCTTATGGCTTTGGAAGGGTGGTTGGGGCAAAAATCAGCAGAGTAAGAAGCAGGATGGTAAATCTGCAAGGATTTGGATTAAATTTTTGGCACTGCTCAGAAGTGATGAGCGATGAAGCTGCAGTGCTGGATGGTGCCCCATAGCAGCTTGTGAGGGAGCTTTGCAAATTTCACCTTTCCCTGGGAGTGCTGCTGCCAAGCTCCCTGTGGTTACAGAGATGTGCTGTGAGTGCCTCAGCTGTCTGAGCTCCAGAACTTCTCTAAAATCTCTCAATTTTCAGGTGGGCAAGGGGTAGTTGGTAAAGTGCAGGAGAAAAAGCCACCCTTTTGATGTGGGGCAAAGATGACATGGTGCTGCAGAGGGTGCAGCGTGGCTCTCCCTGGACATGGCCCAATGGCCCTGTTGTGGCCACGTCCAGCAGGGATGGGAGGTGGAAGATGGGAGGTAGGTGCTGAGCCATGCCACCAGAATGACTGAGCTCAGTAACTCCACCAGCTTCTGCAGTTTCAGCAGAGGCTTTCAAATTAGACTGTGACCACAGTATCTTTCTGAGTGGTCCAAGTGATTTGTTTTTACTTCTTGATTCTGTTTTCTTCTACCTTTCTGGAAGTCTAGTGGGAAGAGAAGTTTTACACCTGCCTGGGGGCTGGATTGCAATTCTGCAGGGAAGCACCCAGAGCTTCCGAAGTAATGCCTGTAAATGTCACTCAGAAACCTATTTTTATTTAACAATTAATTTTATATTAACAATTGATAAAGAAACAGGGCTCTGTGTTGGCAGTGTCGTACTTACATGCTCTTACAAATATAATCTATTTTCTTTACCTTCCTCCTTGCATCTCTAGATGTGGGCTGTTTACGCTGGCTATTGATTGTTGAGGATTAAATCTGATTTACCAGATGAGCCCAAGCTGAAAGGATGCATTTTTTTTTATGTAACTGCATTCTCTAGTAGTAATTGAATTTAACTAAATGGAAAACTACATAGGAAAAAGAATGTGCTCCAATTATTTTCCCTACTTCAAGAAGCTTGTGTAAAACCAATGGAAAATAAGAAGAAAAGTTGTTTAGGTGTCATCAGGAAAACATACTGTTATAAGGAACTGAAGTCTGTATCTGTTGCTTTGGTTTTCCCTTTTTTCTACTAGTTCAGTGTCTGTGGAGCCAAACAGTTATACTCTCCTTTTAATTTTTGTTTCAAAATCTCACCTTCTTTAAAAGCTTTCAGGATTTTATGTTGAAATACATTAAGCGACAGAGTAGGAATCTGTGGAATCTAATGCTCAGGATCCAGTATGTATTTATGAATGAACGCTTAGGGATTCATTAACCTTTCCTGTTCCCATCACCTTCTTGCACTATGCTTCCTTGTGTTCATGCAATTTCACATACAACATGTTAAGCAGTTCCAACTAACTGGAAGGGGGAAAAATGACCAATTTTGCTTTGAACAGTCTTTAAATTTTATGTTCTGTTTAGCTACTTCTCTTTGTAGGGTAGCAATTTTCCCCTGTAAATCAATAGTGTGGAAAAGGCATAGGCTCCTTACAACACACAATGCTGAATTAGCTGGCAGCTTCACACTCCCAAAAATCCCCAGTGCATTGAACTAAAAACCTTCTATTTTCTGTAGTAGAGTGGGCTGGCACTTCAACATATTGCAGCTATGAATCTGTCTGTTCTAGCGAGGAGAAAACTGTTCTAGATGCAGGAACAATAATTTTTTTCCTCTCTTACTTTCTAAGATAATCACATCATTGGACAGCCCAGGATTCATTTTAGCTCTTAAAAGATTATATAGCTGGGTCAGAGTTAATCCAGGAATGTATATAATAAAGCACCGGACATGATTACATTTGTGTTTAGTCGAAGAGATTTGTGGATTTCTTTTTTTTCTTTTTTTTTTTCTTCTTTTGATTGCTGTCTCAGAGGAAGAAATTTCATTGGAGTGACAGTAGCCTTTCTTCAGCTGCCTTGATAGCAATAACAATCTCTGAAATAAGGCTTAAGGGGGATTAATTCCGAAGTCAAGTTGTCGCTATCACTCTCTGGCCATCAAGTAAGTCGGCAAGTGCATACAGCCAGTGCAGGGACCAGGCTATAAGTTTGGTTCGGAAAAATGACAGAGGAGTGTGTCAGCTGCTAAACCAGTTTACTTTCTGGCTTTTTAGACTTTTCCCTTTCTATATTTGAAGTTAAGAGAAGGGTCATAAGAACTTGCCCACTGTTTTGCCAAAGAAACTTTTATGGGAGTGACTGATAAGGCATATGTTAGCAGCTCGGCAGCAGGACCTGTTTTCCCCATCCTTGTCCTTGGGCAGGGTAGTAGAGCAACCAGCTACTGCTCCTTGTCTGCACTCCACATCTGCCCGTGCTGCTGTCATGCTTCTTTCTATAACTGCTCCACCTGACAAGATGATGTGCAATTATCTCTTCTGTGCACTTGTAAATAGAACTGGGATTGATTTTTAGACTCCCTTAAATATGACCTATGACAGAGGAGGTTCCATAACAAAATATGCTCAACTTTACAGTAATTATGGGAGGGTCTGGTGCATCTGGTGAAGCATCGGATCTGTATTTGGGCTGGGCAAACTATCTGTACCTGTGATGGGCAAACTATGCAGATGCTACCTAGCAATTCCTCTGGGAACAGCCCCAGGGGCCATGGATAAACATCACCTGGGGCACTACTCACTGCCTCAAGCCTCTGTGATGAGTTGTGGGTTTGGTCACTCCTGTTGGGTTGTGCTGATGAAGCAAGCTGATCATCTGTGCTGACAGATGCAGGTGAAAATGAGACATGGTGTTCAGTTCTAGCTCCCTTAGGACACCCAGCTGGAGGGGGCAATTTTTTTGTATTAATGGAGTGAGTCAACCTGCTCATCTCCTTCTACAATAGGATGGTTGTGGCAGCACTTCCATCTGGCATTGGCTCTGTCAGACATGGGAGAAACTTTTTGCAGCTTCTCACAGAAGCCACTTTTGTAGCCTCTCCAGTACAAAAACCTTGCCAAGCAAACCCAATACACCTGAAGATCAGGTGCTGGCTTTAGTGGTGTGTTGTACTTTTGCAGAGATACTTGCCTACAGCATCCTTACCACTTCATTTCATCACAAAACTTCACAAACTGTGTGGCAGCTTCACAAATGACGTGGAGCTTTGCTAGCCAAACAAGTGGTACGTGCTCTGTCCCATGGTTCACCAGCAACCAGGAAGATGGTCTTCAACAAGTCACCTGGCAAGAGAGTTTGGAGACTTGCTCCTTGGTGACATTGGTTTGTGTGCTGTTGAGCTGACTTGCTTCTACTTATGTCTACTTGCATTTGAGACTTTCTTGGTCTTGCCTTGTGGACTGTGTCTTCCAGGCTTGAGACAGCTTCCCTCAGAACCTACCAAGTCTGTCTCCTTTTTCTTAAAAATGTAACTGAGTTAGGCAAGAATTAGTCTTTGAAAAGCATGAAACGCTACCTGGAAGTTAAGCCATCATCAAGAGTTCAAGCCTCTGTTCTTTCTCTGCCATGTAGAAGAACATCTGCTCTGATGAAGGATCAGAAGGACCTTCCCACACATCTGCAGAGACACTGAAGTAGGAGCATCCTGCAGCAAACACAGACACAAATCTTACAAAACCTTGGGTAAAGATCTATTAGCAGTTCACTGACATTTTTATTGAATTGAATCCTGAGCCATCTCGCCAAACACTGGCTTTGACTGAAGAGGGAACATTATCAGCCTGATACTGATTTTGAGCTCTGTAATTGAGACTGTATTGGAATTCCATAATAATTTTATTGTTGCTATGGCATAGCGTAGGAGTTGCAATTATAGTTCCACGTATCAAAAGATTTGCCAAAAAGGAGTCTGCTCCATCAGATTTATTCTGACTGTCTAATCTTAAGTACTATTCTCCAACTTCATTGTCACTTATTAAAGAAAAAAAACATCAAAGCAATATAGAGTGGGATGCTTTCACTGAAAACGGATGTTTCTGTGTGAGCTGCAATTGAGCATCAGGTGTCCTAACTTGTTTTCAAACTGTTGGCATTTGTTTATATTTTGATGGCAGTATTTCATGCCATGTCTTGTGAGGGAGGACTGTGTAATTAACATTTCAGAAACTGCCTGTTGCTAAAGTGAAAGTTACAATTCCCTTTTATCTGACTGCTGACTATACTTTGGAGAGCGATACAGTTGCTCAAATAAAGTCCCCAAGAAGTGTGCTTGGGTGGCTGAGTAAAGAGAGATCCATCACTTATGTGGATCCAAAGGAGACAAAATGTATGTTGGATTGGTGGGGACTATGCTGGCAACCCAGGGAGGCAAACAGCTCCAGTATTTGTGCAGCAGGTGATAAGTTCTCATTAGAATTGGACCTTGGGTGTTCATTGTGGCTCAAGGCCTTCATCACTTTGAGTTGATATTTCAGAGTGACCTCTGGGATTCATATTTGGCCAGAGACCACTTCTCCCTTCAAGGTTGTTAATCCTCAACAGCCTCAAGCAGTGAGGTCACATCAATTTATGGTAAAACCGAGGGCGTCCCCTTTGTGTTTTCTACATGAAGATAAAGAGGTGGAAATGTATCCAGCATGCTTTATGTCAGCTGTCATTGGGACTACTTGTGCAGAGAATAGTGGGAAGTTTGAGTTGCAGAGATCATTCACTGTTGTCCCCTTCCTGTAGGTAATGGCAATACTCCCACATACTGTCTTGCTTTGGTATGGGGAAGACAGAAGTGTTGAAGACAGAAGTAGTCTGTGAGCCCCTTTACATCTTCCAAACCAAGAAAAATCCCTGCCCTGAAAACCTCAATGTTTAATAGCTTCATATTGAGCTAAAAGTGTGGGAACTGATAGCAAAAATTGTGAAGTAATATGTGATGTAACTGTCCTGGGAGACTATTATAGCTTGATACTTTTCTGTTCAAATGGACGTCTCTTGAGAAAAGGAACCTCTGCAGTTGTTTCTAAGCCTGAAACTCAGGATGGGGCTAAACAACAGTTCACCAGCTCATGAACTTCGTGAAGGATTCATGCAGTATTTTGTAGGGGTGGAAGGTCTCCGAAGGATCCAGAGAAAGTTTAACCAGGAGTGGTGGGGAAGGTGCACTTTCATAGTAGAGAATAGCAGTAAGCTGTAGACACAAGAAAGAAACATTTCAGAGGAAAGAGGGAATATGCACATGTAACCAGTACCACAGGAATAGTAGTTTTTGAGATAGTTGAGGACATTTAGGCAGAAGAATGTACATTGGTACTTAGTTGTTTTGTCTAGTTCTGCATTTTGTGTGCTGGCTAAATAGTGGTTGGTTTGGGGGGCTCTTTTTAGAGACCCTAGAAGCTGGGGGCTACCTACAAGCTGGGGGCTTGGAGAAAAGCAGGGTGGTGACTCCAGTCAGGCATAGGCAGTCAGTGTACAATTGGTGGGATATGATACCATTGCCAAAGGAGGATCTGAAATCCTTCATAAAGAAAAGTATCAGAGCGGAGGTTGGGTGTGCTAGACCCCAGGCCAAACAGGGAAGAGGGGACCAGCTGGCATGGTTGAAGCATGCTGGGGCTGTCATGGGGGCAGAGCAGAGCCAGCATTGCATTCAGGTGTCTTCATGCCAAATTCACTGACTCGTCTAGCTGCTGCACAGATGTGTTTATGCACTGGGGGCATGCAGGAGAGAGGGGGGTGCCTTATGCTTCCAAAGTACGCAATCAAAAAAAAACACTGCTGACCAGGGAGTATTATCTAAGATGGCAATAACTGTATGCAACAAATCCTGAATTCTGGTTTCTGAAGTAGAATGGCTTTGCTGCTTGTTTCTGTCCTCTGTCATCAGCAGTGGAACAATCCTTGTTTAGGGTCATCTGAGCAGGGAACTAAAGAGAGCTCTGTGCCATGGCAACACTAGATGTGGGTCCATGTGAAAATGGGAATCCTTGCACATGAAAAAGACAAGTTCCAGTTTGGAAGCAGAATGGAAGACCTTGCAGATTTTTCCAGTCTGAAGCATGGAAGACACTGACAACAATTGTATGTGCTGACAGAAGTGGCCAGACTTTACATCATCGGAGGAATAAAATCCTGAGATTTCTCCCTTCTCCCCAGAATGGCAAAGCTTCAAGCTGTTGTCTGGTGGAGATGGACTTGTAGGTCTGTACAGTTTGGGCATAGTGTGCAGCTGGGAGCAAGGTAGGCCCCCTGGGACACTTCACCAGAAGGAGAGGAAGCACTCACTCGGCACAGTGAGTCATGATCATCTTTATTGTCATATTAGAGAGGGTATCTCTCTACTTGTTACTGCCTTCAGGATACTGTGAAGAAATTAATGTTGTGATCATAAGTGGGAACCCCTTTAGGGGCTTCCCACAGCCTACACCTCCTGCTTCCTCATCGTACCCAAGTAGGAGGCTTTTTAGCTACCTTCACAGTCACAGTTTTTTCTGTTTACAGCTTCCAGTTTTAAAGGAATTGGAATTCTCTGTGTGCACCTGAAGCCTTGGTGTCCATCTGTCCTGCAGGACAAAAAACCTTTGTGTTATCTGAGGATGAGTTAAGCTGTGTTACTCAGCGTGGTTCAACATCTCCTGTAATGATCTCCATGGACGCCCAGTACAAATAAGAGAGATTGTTCTTGGACACTGAGATCCTGATACTACCGACATTTGATTCTGTGGACTATTTGTTTTCTATTGTTTAACTGGCTGTGGCTAGGAGGTAAGGGTGGTGTGTCAAAGGCCTTGTGGAAACTAAGATATGTGTGTGTGTGTGACCCGAAGCAGAGCCTCTGAAAGCCCAGTCCCAAGAGCACCAAGCTGTGGGAGGAACTTCCCTTGAGTTCTTTAGGTTTCGAAGCAGATGTCTGAGGGTGAGATCTGCAGATAGCTCAGCTGCATGTTCAACTCTTATTGACTTCTGTACAGCAGAAGCAGATGCTGAAACTTTCTGCTGAAGAGAGGCTTTGAACTTTGTTGCTTGTTTCTCTCTGTTGTAAGAGTGTAAGAACACCTTCTTTTACCAGTGGATTTCAGCCAGATATCAGATATCCCATCATCTGGGAAAGCTTGCTGGACTCTTTGAGTTATTTATTAGCATGATACTAAACAAAACTTGTGATTACGTACCTCACTGAAAATAGGAAGTTATTCAAATCCAATCCATGTGGCTGGCTAAGATTTCATCAAAATCAAACAAAATGAAGCAATTATTTTCCCATTCATCATGCAAACCCCCAAGCTGTTATGAGGCAGTTTGGTTTGAAAGTAGAACAAAATATGACAAAGCCTTTATTTTGTTTCTGAATGCTGGCGTATTCTTTTCCAGTACCTTCATGGAGTAACTAACAATTGAAGTAAATTTCAGCTAACTTTTCTTTTTTGTTTCTGTGGAGCTTGTTCTTATTATTCTCTGTCCATTTCAGTCATGCTGGCGTTATGGAAAATGCAGAGAAGTGATGCCCTGTGTTCCTGAGCACAGAAGTAACTCTGTTTTACAACGTGTCTTGGCAGTGTTCATACATCCCTCCCTGTGCAAGAGATGATCAGGAGAACTCTGAGAACGTCACGTACAAGCAGAAATACTGGAAAGAGAAAGTGGGTTCTCAACCATTTACATGCTATTTTAACCAGCACTTGAGGTGAGTAATCCTCATTTGGCTAGGCAGAAGTGCTTATGCGTCTGTTTAACAGCTGTCCATTGGTTCTGTTTGAAAATATATATAAATGTATGCACATGTATACACACATCCGCCCCCCCCAAGTGATGTGGTTTATCACACAGAGCTCAGCACAGAACTCTGCAAGAAAATTCTGTTGATGAAAAGCTATACAGAAAGCACAGGAGTGTTTTTACCACTTGAAGTAAAAATATAAAACTCTGAGGAAAGTTTTCCTTAAACCACGCAATTTTTATGACAAAAAGCATCTTGGCTTTTAACACTCAGACAGCAAATTTCTGGTTTGGAAATTAACATTCCTTCCCTCCACTGAGAAGAAACCTTTCTGTATTTGTGGAACAAAAGGGAAGATCAGTAAGTACTACAAACCAACTCAGGAATTGTGTTCACAGAGGATTAATGAATTAGGTATGTGTAATAAGCATTCATAGAACCACCATATTTCATAAATGCTTGCAGAATAGAAAGTAGTAAGCTAAAGCATCTCCCCTTCTGTTTCAATTCTTACTTTTACTGCTGATATTGATGTGACTTACAGGTGTATGAGGGTGATGTGTGGTTTCCTTCCTTCCATAAACAGACAGGGGAAGGAGTCCTTTTGCCTCTCTCTTTCTGATGGTGATATGCCAGGAAATAGAAGGTGATGTGGCAGCAGGAAGAGGTTAGTCCTACCCCGCAAACACTTGAAAGTTAAACAGATAAGGGAGACCTAGGAGGGAATATCTTGGGGCTTGCAGGTGCGATTCAGGGCTCAGTGTGGGAACGTTGGCACCAGATATTCAGGTTCATTTAGACAAACAGGAGGAAAAGGGATGCCAGTGTGTGCTAGGACCTCGGACAAACTGGGGAGCTGGAGCAGGGTGGCAGGTGGAGAAATGCCTGACTCTCCTGTGGATGGCCCACTGAGTGCCTTGGGGGCTTCAGCTTTATCCTAGGCTGGCTAAAATTATTACCCCCTCCCTGGAGAGAGGTAGTCAGCATGCCCAGGATGACAGTCTGTTGCCATGGTTAACTCTTTGTGGAGGGATCCCACCAGCGCTTTGTAGCAAAAATTGTTGTTCCTTACAGAGGGGAAAGAAGAGCTGCTTACAGCACACGTAGGTTAGGGTATCCTGTGTGGTGACATCAGACCTGTCAGGGACCTTCTCGGGGGTCCTTTGGTCCACAAGGTGCCAATCTTGGGTCTGCTAATCACAAACCTGGTTATAATTTTGGCTTCTCTGAACAGGCATGTGCTTCCAGTTCCCCACACTGCTGTGGCCTGGGATCTGCAACAGCCACTGCCTGAGTGAGCAGGAGAATCAGAAGCATGGGATTGTCTGCAGGAGAAGTCGTGGCTAGGATTCATCTGAACTAGTGTGGACAGGATGCTGTGAAAATTAGCTTTTCTAGTCAGCGGAGAGAAACAGGAACCTTTTACCTTACCCCAAAATAAATGCCTAATATTGGTCAGATGCCAAGAGTTGTTTATTTATCTCCCATAAATGACCATAGAGTGGCAGGTGTCCAGAGCTACGTGATCTGGTTCTCACACCACATTTAGGTGAAGCACAGACAAAATTTTTCTGAGGCTGCACACCATGTAGCATCTGCCATTCATGTAAGTTGACACTGAGGAATTGAGCAGCACTCAGGCAAGGCTTTTTTCCTTAAAGATGCTGAATCCTATACTGCTGAATGTTCTTGCCAGTGCAATAGTTGACTTGAAATGCTGCCTTTTGCTGATCATACAACAATTCACGTAAGCAGAAGACAGACTCACTGCCAGAGATACTTGAAGATAGTCTAAGCTAAAATGTGTACACCATTTATTTTCCACTGGAGATAGGAATGAACTTTGGGAGATAAGTTTTGCTGACTAGGAATGTGGATGTTAGGTATACTTTCAGAGCAACAATGACTAAGCAGCTTGTGAAGCGGTAAAAGAACCCTATAATAAACTGAGAGAAAAGTCTGTTCACTTCAAAATAGAAGTGGGCATATTTTCTGTCAGTATTTTTTTCACTCTATGGATAAGCTAAGTCTTCTGTGTCAGTCTATATAAAACATACAGAAAATAGCTCCTTAGAGAGAGTACTATTTGCAGTATTAATAATCTCCCTTTTGAAAAGGCAGAATAAAATTCTAAGTAAATATATAGGCAATGAGTTAACATCATCTATTCTTCATCAAACTGAATTCAGCTTCATTGTCAGAATTGTTGCTGCATGCAGAGTGTACTATTAGGTAACATCTCCCTTCAGTTTGGTGGTGCACATTTCAACAGGCTACTGTGAAAAGAAAAAAAAGATGCAATTCTTACAGTTCAAAAGGGATGAGAAGCAGACTTGGCAATTTCAATCATTCTTGGTTAATATAAATTGAGATGCCCAGCAAAACTAGCTCTCTGACATTTATCTTAGGGAAACTAAGAGCAGCTTAGCTTGGAGCTCAGTGCTTTACTGAAAATTAAGGTCTTGCTTTGCCATTGTAGGCACTTACATTTAGTGTGCCACTCTTCTCTGGCTGGCAAGTTGCAAGTTGCATGGGAAAGTTGCTTTCCTGGACCTCTGGTGAAGGTGCCTGTGTGTTGGCACGATGATATTCCAATCTGAAGGAAGCCCTGCCCAGCAGAAGAAAAAATATTCTTTGTTTCAGAGCATAAAATAAAGGACAAATTAAGATAAAGTTCTCAGGCTTTTGCCAAAGGTTTGAGAAGACACCGAGCTCTAGTTCTTCAGTGTTCTGGATTTCACACCAAGTGTTCAAGGGGATCTGTTGGCAGGACCACATGCAAACAAGTGTCACAGCTGCATGTCCTAAAATGGGATGTCTGGGGAAACAGGTGGGATGGGGAAGATCCTGTTGCTTTATTTCTTCATGTTCCAGGTCTCACTGACATCCACAACAAGAACAAAAAAGAAGATACCAAGGTTTCTGTCAACTCAGACCACTCTGTCTCAAAGACTTGAAGGGCAAACACTGTCCAGTGATTAGCAACAATCTGTATGTTGTTGGGGTACCCTGCAGGGTCCTTATTTATTGGGGAATAATTATGTGTAGAAGCCCAGAGTGCTCAGGTAGTAGGGCTGCTCATCTGTAAGGGCTGGAACATAAATCTTGACTTGCCTGTTACTTCACACTTTTCTAAATTAATTCTGTCCAGTCAGAAGATGGTGTTGCTATTTCCCGTCCTTTCTTTTATTTTATCACCTGTGGAGCAGTGCTTGGGCTGGCAGGAAAGGACTTTACTGTTAGTAAGACACAGCACTGCCCCTGCATGCAGCCATCTGGGTGAGGATCTCTGCATCTTGCAACAATAAGGGAAAAAATGACTGCTTGTCAGAGTGATGGGATGTGAACAACTGTGGGCAAAATAAGTGTATTGCAAACGTCTTAATTCCAGATTGTTTGAATACAAAAAATATTTGTAAGATTACCCTATCCCATGCCCCCACTTTTGTCAGCTTTTGTTGTGTAACATAAGTTGCACAGTGTGGTTCATAAATGATGACTGAAATGTTTATGGGCCTGTAGCTTTTTGGTCCTGCATGACTTTTTGGTAATTCCTGCACTGCAATTCTTCCCATGATGTTCCATAACGGCTCTGAAGGTTCTAATGGAGGCCTGCTTTATCTGATGTCTGTTTGAACTGCTTGGCAACACCTAACAGGGATGTGTTGTATAATGAAACAACTAATCCAATCAACCTGGCTCAGAGCTCCACAGGGGTCTAGCCCTGAGCAAAAAGTCCTGCTAAAAATAAGTCCTGGTCTCACCTTTTAGCAACGAAAACAAAATCCCTTCCTCCTTGTCTGTTCAGTGAAAGGGAAAGCTGTATTTTCAGGGTTAAAATAGAGACTTCTTCAGGGATATTTTTTAGTTTGTTCATTCATTTTTCACTCTGGGGCTGCTGCTGGGCAGTGATGGTGGTGCTGCACAATGACCATCACTGTTTGCAGCAGAACAAGGTCTCAATCTCTAAGCAGGGTTTGCAAGTATTGTGGGTTTTTTCCCCCTTGGTCTCTTTCTTGTCTCTGCCACTGTTTTGTGCACAGATAACTGGTGTTAGGAGTTTGGGTGCATCCCCTCAAGAGGCTTTGCATTTACTGGAGACCTGAATGGCAGCATGCTAGAAACAAGAGATTCCCCATAACAGACCTTGGGGGAATATGTGCAACCCCTCTGCCGACATTTTTGAACTGAAATGTTGTATGAAACCAGGGGGGCTTCCAGGAAAGACAGGAGAAGGTTTCCCCCAAGGACACAGCACCTTTCCTTTTCTGTTTCCAAGACAAGCAACAAGCCTTCAGATTCTGGAAACAGGCACATCATCTTTAAAAAAGCATCAAGAAAAAATCAAAACTGCAGATTCAGTACATGCTAGCCTCACCATGCAAAATGAAATCAGTTACATTACTGTGTTTAGAGTGTCACAGAATCCCAGAATATTCTGAGTTGGAAGGCATCCACAAGGATCATCAAGTCCAACTCTTGATCCACAAGGATCATCAAGTCCAATTCCAAGGACCACCCCAAGAAACACACCATGTGCCTGAGAGCATTGTCTGAATGCTTCTTGAACTCTGTCAGGCTCGGTACTGTGACCACTTCTCTGGGAAGCCTGTTACAGCTTCCAACCACCCTCTGGGTGAAGAACCTTTTCCTAATATCCAACTTAAACCTCCCCTGACACCATTTCAGGCCATTCCCTTGGGTTCTGTCACTGGTCAACACAGAGAAGAGAGAAGCTTTACTGAAATCCGAAAAGATTACATCACCTGGCTTCCCTTGGTCAACTAGTTGGGTTACCTTGTCATAAAAGGAAATTTAGACTGACAAACAGGACTTAACCCTCATGAAGCCATTCTGGCTCTGACCAATGACTGTGCTGTCCTTCAGGTGTTTTTCAATTACTCCCAGAATAATTTCTATAATTTTACCAATCACTGAAATTAAACTGACAGGTCTGTTGTTTCCAGGGTCATCCTTCTTGCCCTTTTTGAAAACTAGGACAAAGTTAGGCAGCTTGCAGTCAACTAGGATCTCTCCAGATTCCCAGGACCATGGGAATTGGTCCAAATTTGTCCCACTATTTTTTTATGCCAAGAGTCAGTACCAAAAGGCTACATCCCAGAGGGTTCCAGAGTTTTCCTGGGTATCAGATCACCATCCAAAAGTGCTGCTCCCTCCTCTTGACTAAAGAAGGGCATTTAATATCTTAATTGTGGTGCCAGTAGCCATTTATTGAAGTATTTTTGGAGGACTCAGTCATGTCTTGATGTATTGTCTGCAAAGATGCTACACACAGTCGACAGTGAGTCACTGCCATATAAGAATTGCACAGGGACTCTTGCTGAAGCTAAGAATAGCAATAATACCCACCTGAACCAAAACCTCATCTTGAGGCTTAATTAAAGGCCTCTGTCTTTGACTCTTTTCCAAAAGGGAAATTCTTTTAAATTACTAAGTTACAGTCACACCTATAATGAGTGTTTGGCATCCATTGCTGCTAGCTCTGGTATGTGTTTTCAAAAACATTTAGGAATTTGTCAAAAAGATACCTTGCTTTCCCCAATCACACTTTCTTTCCTTTAACTGAATGCAATTTTCTAGGTTTTCTTCTTGCCCCTTATTTTTGAAATCTTTGATTAGTATCTGCTTAAAAAAACCCAAACTTAAAATTCAATGTTACTTTTAAGCTGAAAGTTGTGAAGATTGAGTGCTCTCTACTTATGGCCTCCTTGCCAACTAGCGCTCTGTTATGCACAGAAGATGATACAGTAAATATGAGGGAAGCAGTATTATACTTCTTGTGAAAGGATTTTTCTGTTCAGGTGTTGTCATTCATATGGCATAGACTGGTGAGTTTGTGCCTATAAAGTTATTACTACTTCATTCAATTTATAGTCTCCACCTGTGCCTGCCTATATATATTTAGGATTTTGGTTAAGCAGACTTCATGCACTCCACTATTGAATACACCTGGGGTTCTTTTGACAATTTTTTATGTTGCTGAATTTCAACTTCTTTATAGCTGAGCTGCTCATAGTCAGTCTTATTCTGCTCCTTACTACACAAACAAAGAGAGATGCATGGTGTAAGCCTCGGGGACTTGCAGGCTGGCACAGTGCAGAGGATCCTTCACATAGCAATTTTGGGTGAGAGATCCCCAAATGCAAATCCAGGTGCAATTAAATCTGGGATAAATTGTAGCTTGACAGTCTAGCTCCATTAACTCCATAAGGATGGATAAAACTCCACAGATTTGCAAACATCTCCATAAATTAACTTCTCAGTGAAAGAATAAGACGTTCTTCTTCTTTCCTCTATGGAGAATGCTTTCTTGGTGCTGCTTTCTGATCAGGATAAAACTATTGTGGGAGAGACAGCATAGTCATTGAGCAGGTATCTGCTTCCATGTGCCACTGTGTTAGAAGAGCTTAATTCCCAGGACCTGGCTGGATGAGCCTGGGTTGGCAGGGTTTTAGGCTGCGGGGTTTGTTGCTCCAAGGACTGTCAGATAGCATTGACAAAGCAACACATGATGGGAGAGTTCGATGTAAATGAGGACCAACATGAGTCAAGGCTATAGATATTTTCCTAATTAGAGAAAGTCTGTTTCTTTCCTTTGTAGGTAATTTTCCAGGGACTGCATGTGTCTGGCTTTAGATGAGAAAGCAGCAACAAAATGCAAATGCCATGAGACTGATTTAGTAACTGTTAAACTGCAAGGAGAGCAGAAAGAGCCAGAGCTGAGGAAAACCTGGCATCGAATTTCCCAACCGACTTCCCAGACTTGGAAGAGGCAGATGGACAACTGATATCTCAGACACATGGCACAGCTGAATTTCTGAATATCTTAAGATGCTTCCTCCTTGCTATTAGCCTTTTCCCTTGGAAATGCATAAACCTGTTACAGACCCGACCATGACTGTGTGTTAGATGCTGTTGACGGAGGCATGAGGTTTAAATTTTGAGGGAGGCTCCCCAAAGTGTCCCTGTAGTAGCCTACTCAGACGCTGCTGTTTGCAGCACCAAATCGCAGCTTATTGTTGAAATAGCCACTGCTGGGAAGGGGCTGAGCCGGGAGCCTTGGCCACACAGGGCCAGGTTGTCATCCTCCTGGGAGTAGACTCTGTGCAGACTCCTGCCTGCCAGTGCAGCTGGGCTAGCCTTGGCCACCAGCAGTTCAGGGCTGAGGACAGGGACTGGCTCTGCACCCGAACCACAACCAGGACTTACTTCACCAGTAACCTTCATGAACACATCAGTGCTCCAAGTAAAAAGGGAAGCTTTGATTACACTTAACCCATTGCACAGGGCTTGATGACATCTGAGCTAGACATGTATAAATGCTGCCTGGTATTATGTTTTTGCTAGAGTGGTTTTTCCAATCCACAGTCAGTGTGATACTGTATCTCTCACAGCTCTTTGTGATGACCATGACCCCTGGAAGACCTGAAGTATCAGACACCCCCCCCCCCCTTTTTTTTTTATCCAGACAAACTTGTTAGCCTGTAAACACTGCAAGTGGAAAGCTCTTACAGCCCACCACAAGTGCTGGTGATAAACGGGCAAATGAAAGCAGTGAATGAAAGGGTCCATTTAATCATTTTCTAACACTGTAGCAAATAAAACACCTGTACTCTTTCCCTGGTGGATGATTTCTACTAATGATGAGCTGATGATATTGAGTTGATTTATATTTTCTACATTTTCTGTTCCTGCTCTTCACAGGCCAGATGATGTGATGCTGAAGCGCACCCATGATGAGACTGTCCTCTTGCACTGCTTCCTCTGGCCTGTGGTGACATTCCTGGTTGGAGTCCTCATCGTGGTCCTGACCATCTGTGCCAAGAGCTTGGCTGTCAAGGCAGAGGCAATACAAAAGAAGAAGCATTTGTGAGTGGCAAGGCTGCTGACGGAAAAGAAAAATCTGCAAGAAGGTCTCAAGTGGGAAAACTTGACACACCTGCAGGTCTACAGGGCACCCTTCATCTCCTACCAGGGTCTGATCTGATGATGGAGTTGCTCTTGCCTCAGGATTGTTCTTAGAAGACTGCCCCATGAAATGCCAGCTAACTGCTTCTTCTGCTATGACAGTAAATAAGTATATTCTACCAAAAAAAAAATAATCTACACTGCACCAAATATGCTGTGTGCTGTTAGTGCTGAACTGCAGCTACCTAAGTCCTAGTGGAATTGAGACAGTTTATAAAACTCCCTGATGATACTCATTTCATCTCTACAAAGCAATCTTTGCTAATGTTTAATACTAAGTATTTAAAATATTTACTTTAGATAGACCTTATTTTCAAAATAATAAAATTTGATTGTTTTGGGCTTTTTAACCTTTGGATTTTTTTTTTATTTAAAAGGAAAAGCTTTAAGACAAACATAACACTGTGCTGATTTGTTGTTTTTTTTTTCCCACTGTGTAGAACTTAATTTTAAAATTCAAACTTTAACTTCTGTCTAGACTAAGTCTTTCATCATCACCTGTTCATTTTGATGAAATGTAGAAATCTCTCAAAAGTACTTCTCAAAAAAATGAAACTATTATTGGAAAGATGATTAAATGCTGGATCTAATTTTATTGCCTCAGTGGTATTCAGTCCCTACAGTTATTCTTGTCCTCTCTCAGATACACTCTTCATGAATGCTGTAAGCAGCAGGAATTTTACATTAGTAGTTTTACATGAATATATTTTACTAGCATCTTCCCTCAAAAATGGAGTGCCTGTGCACTTGCTGAGGAGAGCCTGTGAGCCATGGTGTGATCCATCTCACCAGAATCCAGAAATGGCCAGGGGAGACATCAGCTCCTTGTAGGGCTCTGGGTGTTTGCTGCTAAACTGCCCATCCCAGTCACACCAGCTCCATGAAGGCTCCCACGCAGGGGATGCTCCATTAAATGCAAGGCAATTTGGACACAGAATCTTGCTGAGTCTCCTTTCTCTGCTTGCTCCAGGTCCTCACTGTGTATGATTGGAGTACCAGCTCTTGTCCACTTGCTCATTGCAGAGATTTTCATATTTCTGGCAGTTTCCCTGGGCAGATTTTTTGCATACCATAGTCAGGGGCTGAGACCAGAGTAGCTTCATGGCACACGTCCATACCCCCACAGGGCTGGACCCCCCTGGGACCAGCTGTGCAGCTTTGCAAGGCTGAAGTGCAGCAGAGAAGAAAAGCCATGTGGCTCAGTCAGGAAAATGAGTGATTACTGGCAAAGCATTTTAATTTACATTAACAATTCTGCAATTCCAAACATACTGTGCATTGTACTAATCTCTGATATTCTTAGTATTATGTTTAAATACCTTGTGTTTCGTTGTGATTTTAACACTTAACAGAAGTATTTCCTGAGGATGAGAAAAGTGCTAGATCTGAAAGCCTGAAAGCTTAGTTGGCACAGTGACAAATCTGCTTGTATTGCTCAGTGTCCTCTTCAGATGAATTGTATTGTGTTTTCCAACTGATTTCCATGAGGCTTCTTGTACACATTGTGGTTTCCAGTGATAAGGGTGATATATGGCAGGGGCAGCAGGTGACTGGAGGTCATTCCCAGCCCCCCTTCTTACTTGCTATGTGACTTTTGGAGAGTCCTCTGGTCCGGGTCCACACTGGAATAGCTGTTCCTTCAAAGGAATTTGAGGAAATATGTTTGTGGAGATAGGAACTTGATACTTCTTGGCATGTTACTCCATGTGAAAGATCCAATTAGTGTTGGTTGCACATGTTCAAGCACCTCCAGTCCCATGGATGAAAAACAGTTCTTGTGAGAAGAATTTCCAGTTGTCTGTGTTAAACATCACCCCTTTGGAGATGCCTGTTGCCAGGCTCAAATAGATAACCTCTGTTTCAGCCTGCTGAGAAATATAGTGCTGGATATACAGGGTGAAGAGAGGCTATGAGCTCAACCTGTTAGAGGAAAGCCTGCCAACTTCTGGAAGGGCCGTTCTGCAGAGGCCACTCTTTCATTTCACTTGTATCTTCAAATTAACTTGCAAGCAAGGCCACTGCTTGTATCCTCTGCTATTCTCTTGCCTCAGCGACCCACAAAAACATTGGATCATGTGTCTGATAGTTACTATTTTTATACATGTATATTACTTCTCCACACTGTGCAAACCACAGAAAGCTGCCACTGTGGAGTGGTTTGGTTACCTGGCTAAGGTGATGGCGAGTTCTCTTTGTCTATTTCCGCATGGTAGCTTCTTACAGTTAAGGAGAATAACCCTGATTTTCTGCATACATCCATCCTTTGTTTTCCCAAGGCAGAAGGAAATACAGAGTGACACAGATTCATCATGAAATTTTAAGCCAGTACCTTGGGGTTCGCAAATCCAGATTAACAAAATCCGCTCTAGCTTTGCTACAGAAGCTTTTGTGACTGAATTGTACAGCTGGTTCTCTGAGCAAAAAGCAAGAAGTAAATTGAGCTGATGCAACTCACTTGATTGGCAATCATATATCTAAATCTGTTGGAAATGTCATTTGCAAAGGCCTCTGGAAGAAAGTAATGGTTGCAAAGATGATATTAAATTATTTTGTGGAAAGATTAACATCCCAAGTTAAACATCTAAATTAGTATGCAAAGACAGGCAGTATGCAAAGACTGGCATGGCAGTATGTGATACTAAGGGGAAAAAAAATCTCAAAATTCACTTTTCTGTCCCAGCCCATCCCTCATTGATTTAGAAACATATTTGTAATCCCTGTACTTGGTTGTGGAAGCTGGGGATTTCCTTTTAGTGGATTATTCACTGATTTCCTCCTTGGCTTTGCAGATTTCCAGTTTTGGTGGTGTATTCTCTAAAACATATTTGCAGCCAGAGTGGCTACTTTTCCCAGAGTCATCTGCAGAGTCAATTTTTGCATTTTATTCAATATTTATATGCCACTACATTGAGGAATTTTCTTCTGTCATGCTGTCTACTGCTCTGCTTTAGTAAGACCTGCCTTCTCTTTCATGCAGTGCAATTACATAAATTTTTTTATGTGGTATCTTTTTCTGTTAGCTTCTTAGGCTCATTTTAAAAGTCAAAGTAATAAGAGAATTTTTTTGCTGCACTTCCCCTGCTTTTTGTGTTTTGGTGTTGCCAGTAATAGACAAGATTTCACAATATGTTAGAAAATTTAGCTACTGAATGAAGAGCTTGATTCAATGCTCAGAGTAGATGAGGGATGTCATGGAAGTATCCAGGGACATTTTAAAAGATCATTACCCACAATTTCTGCTATAAACATAACCCTATGATAGAGGTCCAGCACAGAGTGCTGGATTTTAAGGACATTTATAAACTGAGCTCTTCAGTAGGTGCTGGAGAACGAAAGTTAGAAAGTGCAGTGGAAAGGTAGCCCAGGTCCCAGTTTCCAGACTTGTGCTTCCAGGTGGGTTTTAAGGGATTTGTCCTAGAACAGAACAAAGATGTCTGTGAGGCATGAGAGTGCAGGGCTCTCCATGGATCAGCCGCCTTGGCTCAGCCTGCCCCTGACCACCCTAGCCCTGGTGATGGTGTCCGTGGGGTTTCCCTGCCTACAATTTGCTTCTGGGAGCTCTCATTCCTGAGCCAGGGCTGCAGTGTCATGCCCACAGGAGCAGGTGTGTCTATAGAGGGCTATCATGCATCTGAGCTCATTTCACACACTACATGAAAGAATCTGTCAAGCATGTGTTATCCAGTCAGAGTTCATCTGGGAAATGTGAAAGAGAAAACACTGGTCAATGTTTAAAACCCTTTAATAAATAAGGTTGTAGGGCTTAAGTATCCTTGAGGAAGTGTCTAATGCAGTTTGCTAGGGGTTTGGGCCTTACTCAAAAAATTAAACTTATTTAAGACTCGCAGTGGGTCTGGTCCAATGAGAGGACCATGTGGATTGCCTGTGAACAGAAGGAATGTGCTGTGCAAGCCTCTTTGCTCAGCACTGCAAATATGGGAGCTACCTCCTGAATTGGGTTTCTGCAAACTTAAGCCTAAATGGCCGAAGTATTTTAAAGCCAAAAACAAACCTGTGGAAGAGAAGACATCCGAAACAGTGTCTATTAAGAAAAGAAAAACACTCAGGCCATGGCTTATGTTTAGATAATCAAATGAAAGGAACTACAACTGAATTTCTAATTATGGCACCCATAGTATCATGCAAATATGGTCTTTTAATCCTGGGCAGAAATCTTATAGCCAGAGCTATTGAAAAATCAGCTGATTTCTGCATGTGGGTTCTCTGAGAATTAAAGGCTATTTGTTTTGGGTTTTTTTCCCTCTATATAGGATAGCTGCTATTTCTCCATTATCTTTCAATCAGAAACCAACCTCTTCCCTTTCTGGCATCTTAAGAGGCTGCTATGCTGATCTGTCAAGTTAACAGTCTTTGCTGCAGAGAGCATGAGCAGGAAAACCTCCAAGGGAATATGCGTGCAATTAATCATACTGCCTTGTCAGGTCACAGAACCACTGAATGAATCAACCCCGAAGTTTGATATTTGAGAGTCTGTGCAATTCTTGTTCTGGTTTGATATGCTGGTGTGAATGCTGCCATTGCTTGCACTATGTTTAATTCACAGCTCTTTGGTGGTTTAATGGTTTGAAGCATCATAAGCTGAAAAATCACTTTGCATGCCTTGGATGCATGGCTGGAGATGCTATACATATTTAAAAAAAAAAAAGAATAGCCAATTACAGTATATAGCTGTAATTTGTATGTAAAATTTTATTATAAAATACTTTTGGCATAGCTGTAAAATTTCATACACACCTACAAAACACAATCTCCAAACAGCATATACAGAAATCCACTGGAAATGTCTCCCAGAAATGCAGTAGTTTTGATATTATATTAAAAAAAAAAAAAGCCATTTCTTTGTGATTTAATTTAATGAGCTAATGGAATGTCAAACATTACTTTTCATAACATAACTACTTCATAACTTTTCAGCTAGCATAAGGTTTATATCTATTTTTATTTGCATGCCAATTGTCATTCACCAAAAGCTGTTGGAAAAAATCAACCAATAAGCTCTTTCATATAATTGCTTGTTCTACAACTGAGAGTTTCTGGACAAAATACTTCAACTATTTGGATCCCATACAGCAGGATCAATTAAAAAAGAGATGTGAGCAGCTAATGTTTTTTTTCAAAAGCCCCAAAGAACCAACTTTTACGCCATTTTCATTCCCTCAATATAGGATTAGGGCAAATTCAGACTTCAGACAAAGAGCAATTTCTGATCATGCCTATCAGAACATGTACCAATATTGAAGTCTATCTTTCCATTGTTTGCAAGGCTGCAGTTCAGTTCAATATATTTCCATGTGAGATTGCATTTTCAATGCATTTCAGTCCAAGAAACACAGACCCCCATACTGAAGGCTTGCAGAGCTGCTACTTGACTTGTTCAGGTCAGCTGCCTTCAGCAGAGCATCAGCCCTTCTCCACTTAGCAGGACAGGAGCTCTCCCCCAGCCCTTTCCCCTCTGGCACTAAGTCAGTTTGTCTTGTGGTACCCACAGGAGAGGGGACAAAGCGGCCACCTGCTCTCTGTTGCCGTGCCCATTGAGGTCAGAGGAAGCAGTGTCTCTAGGGTGTAATATTTGGCATTTGCACCTGGATATCAGGAACGCTGCCTGGATGTGGGGCTAT